CTGGGGCACTGGTGGCCCTGGGGGGCGGAGGGTGGACATTGCCTGGCCAGGGGGACGTTGCCTAGACCAGGGTCACTCCCGGCTTCATGGTCCTGGTGGGGAAGGGCGCAGGGGGTTGATAAGGGGGTACCCCCTTTCCCATAGCACAGCACCTGTTTCCCATCGCACAGCACCTTTATTGAGGACAGGACTGGTGCACAGGTGGCAGTGGCCAGGGCCTGTCCCGAGCCTGCTGGGGCAGGGGCCGGGTGGGGAGCCTGGGGGGCACTGGAGCCACGGAGGTGGGGGCTGCTGTGATACTCAGGCCCCTCTCACAGGTCCTGCTGGCAGCATGGGGCTGGGGGGCAATGGGCATTCCCTGCCAGCCCCAGTGCTCGTCACCACACTTTGTGGCAGCATCAATAAATACAATTGTCTTGGAGTCCCTGAGCTCAGTCCGGTGCTGCTGGGGCACGGGCCAGGGTGCGGGAGCCGGACTGCCCTGTGGCACGGCTGGGAGCCTGCTGATGCTGGGTGTAGGGTCACACAAGGTTGTTGGCCAGGCGCTCCCGTTGCTCCAGATCGCTCACCACATCGGCTCCGTAGGCATCGCCTAGGGAGAATGATGGCATGAGTGGGGCGGACATGGGAGCTGTGGCACCCCCAGCCCTGCCGCTTGCCCCCACCCTGCCTGCCATGCCCCCTATGCTCCCATCCCTCCGTACTTGTGTGGCAGCCGTGCATCCAGACGCGCTGCCCGTCGTACTTGCACTGGCACCGCATCACGTTGTTGGAGAAGTCCGACTCAGCCACCTCGTGCTTTGGGTTCACAACCACCTGGGGAGGGTGAGGGGCAGGACTGGGGGCACTGCTGCTGTGCCTTGGCCAGGCAGGGCTGTGGCATGCACCGTGGGGTGCAGAGCAGCACCTTGATGTGGAGGATGAGGGGTGCTGGCAGTGCCCATGGAGGGCAGCCCCCAGCCTTGAGCTCTGGTGGCTCTGTGCCCCCCTGCCCTTCCATCCCTGTACCTGGAAGGTGTAGCTGCCTGGTGGCACATCAGTGATGTCGATCCACTGGCAGTCAATGTCATGGCGGTAGGTGTCCCAGCACCCCACGCTCACCCCCTGCTCCCCAAAGTTGGCGCAGGCGAAGCGTCGCTGCAGCCCTGCGGGAAGGAAGGGAGGTGAGGGAGGGCATGGGCAGAGCCTCCCTGGGGAGCGGGACTTGGGGGTCGTTGGCAGCTCTGCGGCTGGCACCTACCCTCAGGGCAGTTGGTGTCCTCCAGGCAAAAGCTGGCCTTGTGCCCTTCGGCCACCTTGGAGCCATTGAGCGTCAGCAGGTCATAGTGGGTGAAGACCTCAATGCTGTGGAAGTGCCTGTGGGGACAGAGGCTGAGTGTGGGGCCGGACCCGGCCAGGGAGCACGTGGACAGCCCAGCCGCCCAGCCAGAAGCGGGCAGCACCCAGAGGCTCTGAGCAAATTACAGCCTTGAAGCCAAATAAAGCCGTAATGACGGTTCCAGCACAGACACCACTAATTACTCTGGGGCGGGACAGCCTCTGGGGGACGGATGCCACCATGCCTTGCCTGGCCTGGGAAGGGGGCAGCCCCCTGCCAGCTCCTGCCCACGGGCCACTCACCGGTGGCACTGGTGCCAGGTCCAGGCGTGGCGTCCCATCTTGGGTCGGAAATCGGCTCTGCCAAGGTTGTGGATCTGGGAGGAGAAGCGGAGGAGGCGGCGGTGGCCATAGGGCCAATTCATCTGGTCGGCGGAACGGGAGAGGCAACGCTCCTCGTGGGCACAGTACAGCAGCTCCAGTGGCCGGTCCTCCAGGTAGGCTGTCTCCTGCACCAGCTGGGCATTCATCACCAGGTCCGGGGCATCTGGCATGAAGGGGATCAGTGGGGATGGAGCAAGCGATCCCCACATAGCCCCCCCTGCTCTCTGTGTCAGGAGAAGGGGGGTACCCCGTCCCAGTGGTACTACGTGGGCTCCCAGTACTCACGAGCGGTGCAGGTGACCCCTGCTGAGAAGCGTCCCCCGCCGCTGGGGCAGTGGATGGGGCCGTGGCGCTGGCACTGCTGGAGGGCCAGCTCGGTGCCGGCACAGCGCACCCCGCTCATCACCACCCGGGAGGCATCGGGGCTGCCTGCCCAGTACCATGTCTCCTGGGCAGAGGAGGAGCACAGTGCTCAGACAAGCCCCCACACCCCCTGCCAGCACCCACCGTGCCTCCTCTTCCCCAGCACTGCCACCAGGGCTTGTCCACGCAGGCTGTCCCACCCCAGAGGCCCCAGCCACCCCATGCCCACACCACACATCCCATTGGAGCCCTTCGCATCCCAGGCCCCAGGCTGGGACCCCGCTCACCTGGAGAGCATGGCTGGCAAAGCCCAGCCCCAGCTGCCTGCAGACGACCAT